AGGAACACCTCCTTTCAGCTGCGATTAACTTACCAACTGCACCTCTACATGGACAGGGAGAGCCTAGTCACTGCCACCTAGACTCTGGTAACCTCTCCACTGTAAAGCGCTCTATGTGGGTATGCCCTTGATCCAGAAGCTTCAGCTGGCACAAAACAGGGCAGCATGACAGCTGGTGTGAGCAGAACCATGCGTCTGTGTGACCCCAATACTGTACCACCTAAATTGGTTACCAGTTGAGCTCCAGGGCCAATTTAAGCCCTAAACGGTTTGGGAACGGTGCCTGAAGCACTGCCTGCTCCCATATTCATTGGCCTGGACCCTAAGATCTGTCTCAGAGTCCATTCCAGAAGAGCCATCTCCAAGGAGGATGGCATATAGAAGAGGGACCTTCTCAGTAGTTGTGCTTGCCTATGCATTAGCCTCCCAAAAGCAGTTGTGGCACCTTCATTGCAATCTTTTCAGTGCCATGCAAAATGTTTATTTCCTAGACATTTTAATAATTGTTTTATCTTGATAACTGTAAAGGTGTCTGTTTATATAGCATTGCTATTTTAATCTATACTGTTTTAAATTATCAACCCTCAGCTGTATACTTTTTTGATATTGTTGTGTTTTACTTGACGGTTTTTTGATGGTTATGTTTTTATTCTGTTGTAATCAGCCTAGAGAGCCTTTGGGCTAATAAATGCAGAATGTAAGTTTAATAATAATAAATAGTCCAGCCTTATTTTTGCATATTGGTCTGCAGGAAGCACAGAGGTAGGTGGTTTTTTGGCTGGTGGGACTACTAGCCTACATATTGCCACCAGGGGGAGGAGAGACTACAAAGTTCCCACGTGCGCAGCAGTTTGAATCCGAGCAAGAATCTGAGCCAGCAGGCCTGTCCATATACTGCTAACTCATGATTTTGAATCTAGAAAGAATCAGAGATTGGATCTGTTATTTATTGTTCCACCAGTGGAAGGAAAGTGCTGGCAGAACAAAACTTCTCTGTCCCCTTCTCTTTCTTACAACCCTTCAGGGCAGATTTGGAAGGTGTACAGTATGCTGTGGAGGAGAGGAGATGCCCAGGAGCAAGAGTGCTGGATCCTAGCACTTCTGAATACGGAAGTCATTCTGAAAATAACTTCCATAAAATGAAAGTCTTATATTCTGTAAATAGGGGGTGAGAAAATCCTTTCAGCTTGAAGCTAGATTCTATTTGTGAGGTGCTTTAAGGAGCTGCATTCCAGTGGAAGAGAAGGCTGGAGGAAAAACAGTTGAACCAATAATACCAATAAATAAATGGATATTGATATATTGTAGCTTATATTTCTTACTGCTAGTAACTAAGGAGAGCTATTTCAGTCTTTCACAAAGGTAAGGTAGTTGGGGGAAAGGGGATAGAGACAGGAAGGGGGCATGGTGTTCCAAGGAAATTCGAAGGGACCAGTTTTGGCCCCATGAGCCCCCCTACTGCAAATTAAAATGGTATTTGTACAAACTATTTGTACAAATTTGTACAAACAAATTCTATAGGAATCAAGGGACTTTTGCATCAGATCTCCTTCCAAGTGGCATTTGTTTTTATGTTTAAACAGTTTCTACTTAATTTTAGAAGAAAGTACCACTTGGAAGGACTTTTTTCAGGCTTCTTGGGGCTATTTATGCAAATTAGCTCTATGTTGAATTAGTTTATGTAAAACAATACCCTACACAATTCTCTTGTAGAGTATGGAAAAAATTAAGAACTCTCAAAAGCTGTTTGGCAACACATTCTGTTTAAATGTCTGATATAAAAATAGAAGTCAACTATAAAATGGGCATTGCAAGCTCAGAAGTAAACATTCTATGAAGTTTTCATCCAGTTAGGGTCATACAATAGTATCTCTGTGTGGTATTCTTGCATGTTTGCCCCATCATGTATACTAGTATGTACTCAATGTGCAGTTTATGGAAAGACACAAGATTGGATTCAAATTTAGTCATTTTTCATGTGGATCCACTGAAATAAATGGGGTTTAAGTTAGTCACCCAGTAATTTCACTGGATCTTCTCTGAGCAAGTCTAAATTTGGATCTATCCCATTATGATTAATTTATTCACTGTTAAAAAGTAAGATAAAGCTTTTCTTAAAAGTGTGTTTTCTTAGTAATATCAGTAGTTACGAAGTTAATGCCATGTGATGAAACTGCAAAGGTTTTCCCTATAACAAGCTAATGGTACAGTCCTATGTATGCTTAGGCAGAAAAAGGTCCTGCAACATGCATAGGATTATGCTTGAAGTGACATAAGTTAAATGGGAATGGAAATTGACATGTTGCTCTGTTACAATGGAAGTGGTATTACATGGGGCATTATTAGAGTAGTAGGCAAAAACCTGTGAAAATACCACACCTTCACGTGTTCCTTTCCTTCCTCACAGCAAGAAGAGCAACAACCAGTTCATCTACTTGCTTATTGTCCTATTACATTTTTGATTTTTTTAAATCAGGTATTTCTCCTCTAAATGCATGATCTGCACTAGCTTATCTGTATTATACATTTTTCAATCTCTTTAGTCACAGCAAGCAACATCCTCATACTTGAAATATATTTTGAAGTCTAATTAAAAGATTCACAGGAGAAACCTCCCCACACACACAAAATATGTGGTGCTTGATGGCAGTCCTATTTCAGAGTAAATTTATTAATTAGACTTAATTAGACTTACATCTAAATACCCAAAAATCAACATAATCACTAGACAATTCTTCCAGTGATGTTGGCAGAAATGTACTTCCAATGATTATCCCTAAATCAATTCACTCAGATGTGCAGGTCTTTCTCTACTCCAAAATTAATGTTGAACTATGGTGGTGGAAGCAGCAGAAGCTATCCAGGTAGTGTTGGGGAATGCTGTACTGAAGCAATGATGATGAAATCACTGCAGAACTCAATTGTATCTTCTTGATCTACTTGGGACTAAGAAACTTGTGTGGAAGCCTTCAAAATACTCTATTTGCTAATACATCAGAAAAGTCTGCAAGCAATTATACAAAAGCGTAGAGGAATTCTGTGGGCCCCCAGGTGGCGCTCTGAATACAACAATGAGGTTTAAAACTACTTAACCTGTTCTATTAGCATATCTGTTGTCTCATGCTACTGAGATAAGCACAAACAGAACTCTTTTTGAGGGTATATAGTAACTGTCCAATTTCCTGTACTAACCAGTTTGTAAAGTTCAGAGGGATAACTATAGTAGTTTGCTGGTGCCTTAAAGAAAGCCTCTTCACGCATTGGTTAATATTTAAGGAGGCATAAGAAGACTTGATTGTTTCCATAAAGAGCTGGATTCAGTTCAGATTAATCAAGGCTCAGTTTCTTCCATACCTTAATATTTGCTAAAGTCCATGTTGAAAACACCCTAAGAATTGTTTCTGTTTGTCAAGGGCCAATGCTTTTAAAAATTCATAATGCCATGGATACATGTTTATTGCATTTATACCCTGCCTATTGCTCAAGGAGCTCAAGGCAGCTACAGCGTACAAAGTGCTCTCCTGCCCCAACCTGAAAACCACGCTGTGGGGTAGTTTGAGCGGAGTGTGCCTGGCTTAAGGACATGCAGTGAGATTCATTCAGGATGCTTTGGGCCCAGGTTGCTCTGATCCTATCCTTATCTCCAAGGTAAAGTGAAGCTGTATAATGTTATTCTACATCTTGTTTACTTGCCATCTGTGTCACAGGTTGTGAACCAAGTTCTGTGTCAAGGAAAAGCATGGCTGGGCCCCGGCCTAGCGCATGCTGTAGTTCCCTGCTCTTGCTCCCCCACTTCATCACAGCGACTTGCTTGTTTACCTGCCTCTCACTCTGTCCCCAGACAGCAGTGTAGGTGAGAAGGAGCAGCAGCAGATGCCATTGTTCACGTATTCTCTGCCTATCCAGCAGGTAATGGTGGCAAGGATGAGGAAGAAGTTGAGAAACAGTAACAGCTGGGAAGAATGGCTATGAGAAGGTAGATTTAGGAAGGACAAGGGCAGCATCTTGCCCAAGTGTCTCTGCTGGGTCAATAAGCTTCTGGAACAATCACTATATCCAGTTGAAGCATGCGTATAACAAGGTAGCTGAAATTTCTGCCATAGAAAAATAGAAGCTGGAGCATCCAAATCTGTGGCTACAGTGCACGTCCTTGCCAGCATATCCAGCTCTGTGCTTGCCACCTGTTTCAAAGAGTGGCAGATTACAGACAAAACTGCTCCATGGTGTAGGGAGCACAGGGGCATCAGAACTCTGAATACCAGTTGCTGGCCTTCATCTTGTGCACACAGCTTTCCTTAGTGTCTGGTTGGCCCTCGCCAATCACATAGAATCATAGAATAGAGATGGAAAGGGGCCAATAAGATCACTTGGTCCAACCCCATGCTCGGTGCAAGATAGACCTTTGGTCTGCTGCTGCAGTTCTCTTACATTCTTTTATGCCTCAGTTATGCTTTCTCACCTACTTGGATCTGACTTGTTCAACACAAAAACTGTCCAGACGTTTCAAGAGAAACGTGATGGTTTGTAGAAAGAAGAAAAGCTAAGAATGATACCAGACTAATTGCACAGTTTGTGCTCTTCATTTTCTTTTTTGCTTGTTATAACAAGCTAGTTTAATACTAAAAGTACAGAAAAATAAACTCTACATGATTAACTTTAGTAGCAGGGATGGAGGTCTTTCATTCATAGCTCTATAGATTCAGACTCCTGACACCTGTTCTATCATAGATATCTAGCTATCCAATTCTGGTTTCATAATCACACTATGATTTAAGAAGAAAGAGAATAAATGCCCTAGAATCATTCAGAGAGCTTCACAAATTATTTAAGATGAAGAGAATAAATGACCTAGAATCATCCAGTGAGGTTCACAAATGAATAGGGATTTGAGCCA